TAGTTTGGGCTTATAAAAAAGTAATTTTTGCCCAAAGTGTTTCAGCAATTTCGGCTACTAATAAAGAGAGTTTCAGCCTGAAACCTTACAACTAACCAATCTTGTTTTTTACGTAAAATAATTAGTGAAAATATTGGGCCCTTAATAGAAAAAATAAAGTTTCTTTGAATCAAGTTTTATATTATATCGTGTAACCACTTTTGAAACCGTTTTTTGCTGGGGAAAGTCAGCGATTTTCGTTCTTTCTAATTTTGGTCTTATAAATAACCTATTAAAAAATATATACATCCATCCATACATAATACATATAAGTTTTCCAAATATAAATCAAATTTAAATCTAAAAGAGTTATTTTTAGAAATAAATTTTTATATTTGTTTGTGACTATATATAATAGAAATGTTTATTAAAAAAATGTGTTATTACTTGAATTTCAAGATGATAATTCATCAGCTTGGCGTGATGTAATTTATGGTCTTAGAAGCATACATTCATTTTACTATACATTTTATGATAATACAATAGTTATTAATGATAATGATATTTTCACTTCTGATAAATTAGTACTTTATTTGATCCTAAATATCAACTTGCAAGTAATTCATTCCATACTTGGGGGGAGAAGAAAAAATATAAATTATCTAAAAAAAGGAAAATTCAAATTTTGTGTGCTTTGGAAGGTTTTTGAAAATGTCTGAAAAAATGAAAAGTTGCTCATCCAAGCTGAGCTCAGGTTGCTTTACTGATTCTTCAATGGTTTTTTTGCTTCTCTGAAAATTTTTTATTGTTTGAAATAATTATTACATACAAGGACGATCCTGGATTATTATAATTGAGGTCTATTTTAGAAAAATTTTACCCTTTTAAGCATGTGACATTTTCTTCTTTACCCATTTTAGAATATAACATCCATATAAGACATGTAACTTCGTATGTAACCATTGAAAAATTATTCCATATATTTTTATCTTAAAGAACCATGAAAATCATATTAACATAGTTGTTTATGTTCTTCAATAATTCTTATTATTCTTTCAAAAATGTTTTATTTTAAGATATGGGTATTAGTAATAAGCAGGACACAAAACTTTCTATATTAATATCAATTACAGTTTAACCTTGCCTGTTTTCTATTTTAAGTTCATGGCATAAAATTACTTTTCAATTATAATAATCCGGGTTCTCCTTGAATAAGGTAATTAGAACCGCGTCCAATATAAATCACCATATTTAGAATGATTTACACGATTTATCCATTTTGGCCGCCTAGTAGAGGTGTGAACTCATTATCCATACTTCTACAGTTGGGTCATGTATCAAAAATTTGTCTGGAAAAGAAACATCCAATAATTATACATTCCCATATCCGATCCATATAATAATAATGTTGATATTAAACATATTTATTATTTAGATGTTATTACATTTAATAATGTTTTCAGCCTTGTTACAACGAGGTAATGGTAATATTGACTTGCCACTAGTTCTGAAAAAGTGTAACATGAAATCAAGTAAATGTGCGTTTAAAACAAACGATAATTTACAAGTGGTGCAATTATGCTGTTAAAATTTTGATACTTGAAATTTATGATATAACGTTCCTGGTTTTGTTGCAGCAACCTCATATAGTGGACGAAGTTTTAGCAAAAAGTTTTGCAAAAGAATAGAAGTCCATTTTGTAATTGCGTAGATCGAGCCTCTAACTTTATCGTAACAAGACCCATAAAAGTTCATGACCATTTCTCATATTAACATAGTTTTCTCTATAACTGGATAGATCAAGACTCAAGCTTGATCGTGACAAGACCCGAACAATTCATGGGTGGGTTTCGATCATTTTTCATAAACTCAATTATTAATTAATTAAAGAAACATAAACGGTTATAACTCATCATACGAATGAGATTTTATAATTCAAAAAAATGTTTTGAGCTTGTAGATTATGCATCTACGATGTAACATAGCCATATTTATTGATATTAATGTACTTTCATATTGAAAATGTAATATTCGTCATAAATTCTAGACGTTTACTAATGCAAAATTTAAAAAATCATAATAAACAAAAAAAAATAGCGTTGTTACGTTATAGATGAGATATTTGTTAATCAAAAACACTTTTAAAATTTTTTTTTGCTATTTTGCTTCCAAACTTGTAAACCTTTTAAGTTTCCGATTGTTAAAATCAATTTATTTAAAGAAAATCGCTTTTCATAAAAACTGTTATAACTCATCATACTGATGAGAATTTTTAATTATGAAAAATGTTTTGAGCTCGCAAAATATGTCTCTAGAATGTAATAGAGCTGTATTTTAAAAATACTTAATAAAATTAATGTATTTACATTTTCACGTTGAAATGCAATTTTTGTCATAGATTCTAAATAACTCTCAATACATATAAATTTAAAAAATCATAATAAAAAAACAAATAGTATTGTTACGTTATAGATAAGGTTCTTGTTAATCAAAAACAATTTTGAAAATTTTTAAGTTTCCCGCTTGTTAATAGAAAAAAAATATTTTTAGATCAAACATATTTATGTGGTACAAAACCCTTTACTAATCAAATTTCTCCAGTTAACAAATCACCCAATCTCAAATGTCAAACCAGCTGTTAACTTGTTAACTTATGTATATACCCTGTCTGTCGTGACAAATATTTATTCAAAATATTTAATTGTGTTCTATTTATTCTTATGCAGGTTTTTTAAAGAATTGGCCGCAAAAGTCTAATGATGATGATTATTTCTAAATTTGGTCGGATAATGTAAATAACGCGTCAAAATTATTTTATCAGGGAAAACTCGTAGCAAAACCATAGATGTATTTTATTATCACAAACAGGAGATTTGCATTTAAAATGCATAACATATATTGTACTCGAACCCTTGATTTTGCCAATAAAATATGCATATAAAAAACCTGCTTTCCGTGTATATAAAATATTATATTATTGTTATTATTATTATTATTGAATATGCTATATATAGAAGAAAATCTTGGCTTAAAACGGTTAGACATTCAAAATAATTAAAAAAAAAGAGACAGTTTAATATTTCGCGCATAATTTTAATTTTAATATTGGCTAGCATTAAAGTTCACACAACGATTTTTTATATGACTATTTAATACTAATAGAAAGTTTTTTTCCCCTAATATTGCAACTTTAGTATTTGAATTCCAATGCTAATTCATCACATTGTTCGGTTTTTTTCACTTGAAAGGCTGTTTATTTTTATATGCGGGAAATCTTGTTCGTCCAATTAAATATTAATGTTCAATATTTACAATGAATATCACACAGCATCCCAAAAAAAATTTCCATTCTAATCAACCGGGAACAATAAAAGCCACACAATCACTGATAAAAAAAATTAATTTAAAATGGTTAAATGTATGTAAAAGGATGTCATTTTATCAAAAGTTTGATCTTTATTTAACTAAAAAGGCGCATTTTACAAATATTTGCTGCATGTTTAACCTAAGTTAAATTTGAGTCTTTTGTCTGAGAGTACAACCTGCACGAATTATTCGAAAAAACAGTGGATTTGCGTAGAATATATGTACGCTCTTTGCGTTTTTTCTACAGGGATTTGCGTAGTGTACGAATAAAGAACAATTCATATATTTTTTTTATTGTAAAAAACTAAAATTTTATTTGATTGTTATTTAGATCGCTTTATTACAGGTGACAAAATCACGAGCACACAGAATCCCCAACTTTGATTTAAACTTTTTTTGGAATTTGGAAACTCGATTAGCCTTCGATTTAGAATTTATTATTGTGAACCTTATATGTAATTATATAATTATTTACAACATGCATTTATAAAGAAACTTCAATAACAATTTCATTAATTTTATTTTGATTTTTAATTTCATTCGCCCTTCTTCAGCCGCGTTCTGTGTACAGCAATAGTAAAGATTGTCTCCAATTCCAAAAATTAATATCATAATCACGCCAAAAATAGCGGAAGTTTGTTGTTACACGAAATTTTATACAGAACCCATTGCTCCTGAAACTTCGCCGGTATATAGTTGTTACCACTAAATTGGAGATCAAGTTCAGACCCAACTCAAATCCAGTTTATTACCTTTTATTGCCAGAATGTATTGCACAATAAAAAATTAGTGTAACATTTTAGTTTCCACTACACTTATCACGCCAATTTGATATTAAATAATTGTTACACAATATACAATTACACAACATAATTAAAAAACTTTGACTACATTATATTACTTGCATTATTTTGTAAAGCTGATTAATATCTTTTACTTTTTTAATTTCTCTTGCCGGTACCCAAATGTATCAATTACACAAAAAAAAAAAATAATAATCACATATATACCAGTTTATAGCTAAAATCCGAAGATTATTTATTATCAATAAAAAAAAGCGGTTATTTCCGGGAAAAGATTTTAACATGGAATTTTTAATAATAAAATATTCTGATTCCTCATTTTGTACCTTTTTTTAGAAAACAATATTGTCATTTTTTTTTGTTGCACGCTGCAGTGTATATATGATTTTTAAGTGCTAAGGTCCAGTTGATTTTTTGTTTAAGAAAAAGTTAACAATGGGTTTGGAATTTAAAGTCATAAACTATATATATATAACTTATCAATTAACGTTTTTTTAAAAGTGATATGAAATTTTTTTGCCTTAGTGTTTTAAAGTAGTCCAGCTGCTGCTGTTATAAAATAAATTTTGGTTTTCATTTAATAAATCACGTAAATTTATTTTTTTTGAGTGCTGTGCTGCTGCAACTTTATTTACCATTGAGAGACATAAACTTCACAGTACAGAACCTTTTATGTTTCAAAGTAGTTATTTGACTAGAAAAAAAAACAAAGCTAGCTTTGGCGTATTTCAAATTCAAACTGTCAAATAATTATTTATGGTGGTGGTGGTAACATTAACAATGCAATTTCAAGACCTCAATTACTACTAACATTCGCACAGATTTTACAATCTAAGGCTAATACTGTTGATCTACCTACAGATCTCACGCTGTTAACATTGTTTGTGTTTGGTAAGCCTTTAATCCTTTGGTTATTCTAAATATATTTTGATTTGCAATGTATATATATGTTTTGACCTTTTTAAAGTTAATATTCTTCTTTATTATTTAAAAAATTTACCCCATTTAACCATCATTAAAGGAATAGCCTATTATTTCAATTCGACTTATTCGAGTTCTCTGACTATCTCTACGTCACCATAAACATAACACCACGTCGCCGCCATTGAATGGGCCCTAATGCAACAATAATGGGACCATTAGCAAATGTTTTTGCATTAAATTACAAGTATTTTAGATTTTTCTTTTATCGTAAAAATAAGATGGAAAATCCAATATAGAGTAGTTGTTAATGAATTGTTTTTAATAGAGTAGTTGTTAATGAACCAGTTACTTGAAACATTAAGTCCTTTAATTTATTTTGGCATAGAAATTGATTGTTAATAAATATGCTAGTACTAATAAATGTGCACACTGAAAATCTTCGGATAAGGTTCCCGCATTCAACAATGCATTCACCATCTTGCAGATGATAACCCCAATGTTATTATTATATGTTTGTAGTACAATATATCATAAAAATATCCTTTGGCGAACATTATTTATTAATATATATAATTAATCCAAGATTTTTTAATTTCCATAAATCGTGTCATTTATTTCCGTACATAATGTTTATTGTTATTATTGTATAAGCGCTTATATGCACACAGTATTATAGGTGGGAAAAATAAAATAATAACAATAATCATCATGAGCCAAAAAAGTCTAATGACGTTTTACCATTTATTTACACGAGAACGACAATTTGTGATTCTTTTGTATATTGCGCAAATATCGGTTTTTTTAAATTAATTAATTAATCCTCCAATTAAAATTATATAACTTTGAGAGAGGGAAAAGAGTGGGATAAAAGAATAAAACAAATTGAAGATTTTTTTTATGACATGTTAATTAAATAATTAATTATTAGAGAAATTATCGTAAAGGACACTTATTCAATAAAATAAAAATAAGAAATATAGAGTTTGTTAATACTTATTAAGGTGACATGGCCGAGTGGTCTAAGGCGCTGCGTTCAGGTCGCAGTCTCCGTGAGGGGGCGTGAGTTCGAATCTCACTGTCACCAAAAAAAAACAACAACAAAGATTTTCTTCTTTAGTGTTAGTTATTTGAATTTTTTCTATATTTCTCAGTTTGGGAAAGAATTATAGTTAAGGGGGAAAAAAAAAAAGAAATCAAGTAAAACTTGTCCATGCCATGACTTTTTCCTCCAACAACGGATTTATAATTATTTCGGACGCGCATGTGAAAAAATTTACATAATAAAGTTAAAATGCTGAAAGGTTTAGGAATAAACAAATTCACAAAATTTGTAATTTAATAAGATTGTTTGTGTTAATAATGCGTGTAAAAAAAGTTTAGTCAATATTATTAACAATATTTAGAAATACGGATTGGAGATTAAGTAGATAAGAGAAAACGATATAATATATTTTTTTTTAATATTACTGAATTCGTATTTGCGTGTTATTATTATTTATTTTTATTATTATAATTGAATGCTATGAGTGGCGTAAAAATGGTTTATCTTCATTATTATTATTTGTTTAAAAATTCTGTTCTTAAATATAATAATTTTTTAAGTAAAGTCAAAAAACTGCTCTTTTTACATCCACATACACACTCTCAAGCTAATTAAACAATATGAAAAAATAATTATATGCAATGCGAACGAAAAATAGTAAAGTTAGATGTTGTGAGTTGATTATTATTTTTAAATAATTATGCTAGAGATTATTAACAATATATAATAATTGTCATTAATTAGCAAAATAAAGGAAACAAACAAATGACCATTTAAAGAAAGATTTTCATTTATCATTGTCTTTATTAACTGATTCATTCATTCATTGTAACTAATAATGTTTATTGTGCGCAAAGGTGCATGTTAGATTGTTTTTGTGTTAATAATTAACGGTTGTTAATTAGGTGAAAGTTGAGCAACCGGCGTAATACATTAGGTAATTTGATATTAAACAATGGGAATTTATCTACATCGTTGCTACCATATTAAGTAAAGAATTAATTAATAAAAAAACAGGTTTTATTTATTTTTTTTTTTTTATTTTCATATTTCATTTTAATATTAAAATTAACATTTTGGGTCAAATTGAGATTTAGATTTTTGGTCTACTTTAAGAAAATCAAATGTTTTTTTCCTCACTGATACATCACTCAAAGAATCATTGTTGTGTCATCACCGACCAAATTTAGCCCAACAAGCCTACCGCGTTTTCATATTATTATTTTTTATATTTGGTTATTTTAAAATGTTATAATTGGCTGCAGATCACACTTCACACTATTTTGGGTTCTTTCACTAATCATTATATTATTCTCTCTGGTGTGTGCCTCAACCGTTTATTATTTATATTCTCATTTTTTCATTTTTTTTTTTAATTTTTTTCCAACATCATATAACACCATCGTCATCATTTATCATTTAATTACACTGCATATCTATTATATATCTATCTGATTTTTTAAAAAAGAAATTATTTCTAAAGAAATCCTAAAAAAAAAAACAATTTTTGAAAAACAACCGCAATTATCATAAAATAAAAACATTGTCTTTTCCAATAATTTAAACAAAGTCAAAGCATGTTAAACTTTCCTTCCAATACTATTAATACTCGTCAAGACATCATTATTAATTCTAATAGTAATAGTATTAGTAATAATAATAATAATACTAATAATAATAATAATAATAGTAACAACAACAACAACAACAACAACAACAACAGTAATAGAATAAACGAATTATCAGAGTTTTCTTCACCTACTTCATATTCTTCTTCCAATACTATTATTAATTCTTCTACTAAAAGGCCTACAACAAATAATTTCTCTTCCAACACCAATTCTTCCTTTGCTCCCAAGAATTCTCGTAGAAAATCTTCTATTTCTTATAAAAAACAACAAACAATTTTGGAATCTCCAACAAATGGTAAAGTTACTTCCAAACGAATGTTATACCTTATAATAATAATGAATTGAATTTTCTTGCTACTTTTCTTTATTCTCTCTAACCTTCCATTATTTTTCTCCTCTCCCTCAAAAAAAAAGGAACTACCGCCGCCACCGCCACCACCGCTAATTCTAATTCTAATACTAGTTCTTGTCGTTATGATAGCTCATTGGGATTGCTTACAAAAAAATTTGTAAGCCTTCTTAAAGAAGCCAAAGACGGAGATTTGGATTTGAATAATGCAGCGAATGAATTAAAGGTACAAAAGAGAAGAATTTACGACATCACAAATGTATTGGAAGGAATTGGTTTAATAGAGAAAAATTCAAAAAATCATGTTCGTTGGAAGTAGGTGTCTAAAACATTTTAATTGTCTATACACACATTTTATTTTCTTCAACCTCCCTTTTTTTATTTGATGATATAAACGCGTAAAATATTATTCATAATTATCACTAACAATGATGATCAATCATCATCATCATCGCCATTATCATCGTCATCATCGTCGTCATCATCATCATCCATCATCTAGAGGTTCTCCATTAAATGCATCATCATCACCAGCATCACCAACATCATCTGATATTGTTACCAACAACACTAATACCACCCATAACACAACCAATTATCATCAAGACTTTAAACAAAGATTGGCAGAACTTCGAATGGCTAATGCAAATCTTGAATCTGTACGAAAAGAACTTTTAAAGGCTGAAAAGGAAGTGGATGTAAATATTTATGAATCAGAGGAATTTTCGAGGTAATTGGTTGATTTTTTAATCGATTTATTTCCTCTTTTTTTTTAATAAATAAAAAGATTATTTATTAATTTTAATCAAAAAAAAAAAAAAAAAAATCTCAAAGATTAGCATTTGTTTATGAATCAGAAATCAAAAACATTCTTTCAAATCACGGAGATATTTTAATTGTTGTTAGAGCTATATCTGGGAATGCTGGTCAATTCCCTGAATTAGTAGAGGTAATAATAATAATAACAATTATGTCTTGGTAATCAAAAAGACAGCAACCAATTGTATTTAGCAGCGCAACTAATCAATCTATTATTTATCAAATGATAGAATAGCCAGCCAAATCAATCATCCTCCTCTTCATCTTCATCTCATCAAATTCAAATACGTAATCCCAACAATCAACAAATTTATGTTCATCAACTTACTGATAACAATAGAAATTTAAATTTATTTGATAATAATTATTTCAACATGAGGAATTCATCATCGTCATCGTCATCATCATCGTCATCATCGTCATCGTCATCGTCATCTACATCATCTACATCACCAATTTCTACGACACCAACTCCCACAACGCCAGTATCTACAACGCCGACATCTTCTGCATTCTCGTCATCATCATCAAATTCACCATTTTTCAGATCTTTTCCTCATCAGTTAAGCCCGCCGATTAACATTCACGAAGAGATGTCACCTTTCCGATTTAATATTTCAATTCCACCTCCTTTTCCTCATCCATCTGCTACTCCAACACCGCCCGAAGAAGAAAATTATGAATTGCGTGATACGAATGCTGATAGTTATCGTCATCATTATAACCGTCATCATCGTAACAGTTTTAATGGTAGTAATGTTAACAATAATAGTAATAGTAATAATAGTGGTAATAATGGACTTAATTTTCAACAACAAAATCACAATTATCATTCACAGAATCAGCAATTCGGATTTGGAACGACGATTAGAAATGGCGGAGGTGAAGGTGGTGGAAGTGGGGGGAATCGTGATTTGATTCCTAATAATATGTTTGGACGTGATTTAAATCAGAAGACGATGAGGGAGGGTGGTGGTTATCGACCATAATTATTTATATATATATATATATATTAATTAATTAATTAATGTAAATGTGTGTATTAATAATAATATATATATAGAAAATTAAAATAGATAGAAAGTAAATAGAAAAATTAATAGACGTGTCATTGTAATAAAAAAAAAATAGATTTTTGTTTTTTTCAAAAATCAATCTTTTTGAAAATTTGGCATTGTATTTTTTCAAATTTAAAATACATAGGTGGATGGTTAAATAAATGGACATTAGACATAGGACATTTTATTTTATTTTTTCCGTTTTTAATAATAGTTTATATATGATATATGTATATGTATATGTATGTATATATATATATATATATATATATATTATTAACATAAAAACAAAAGGAAGTAGGTAATTAGGATTAGGAGAACACATTAAAATGTTAAAACTTTGTAATGTAAAAATAAAATAAATAAAAACATTTTTTAAAATCAAAATTTAATAATAATAAAAATAGAGGATGTATACACCTTCACTAGGGAAGTTCTCACTTATTATAATAAACAACAAATAATAATATGTTTTTTTAATTTTTAAAATCAAAATTTTTAATTTATAGTAATTAAAAAATAAAGGAAGCTAATAATTTTTTTTAAAATATGCATTTGCTCGGGATTGAACCGAGGACCTTGTGCGTGTGAAGCACACGTGATAACCACTACACCACAAATGCTAATACCTTAAAAGTATCGTTTAATCCTTTTTATATAATAATTTTTAAATTTTTTTTTTATTAAAAATAGAAAATCGAAAATAGATCAAAATTTAAGAAAAAATGAAAGAAATACTTGCGGAAATATTATATGAAATATGTAATTATTTAACACCTTTAGATCTTTATTCACTTTCTTCAGTGTGTAAACAATATAGAAAATCCTTATGGTCAAGCGCACCTAAAATTCAAAAAATATGGGAGAGATCAAGAATAGTAATGTTAGAGTATCCAAACTTTCCACCACCAAATGGAATGTCAGAACAAGAATATGTTTGGTTCACGCTTATTGCTGATAAATGTTCAATTTGTTCCGTTAAGTTGAACCCAACATTTATTTATAGATATTGGCAATTTAAAATACATTGTTGTTGTCTTTTAGAATCGACCATTAGGTAAATGATGATTAAATAATTTACTTTTTATTTGGTAGACTTTTTAATTGATTTTTTTTTTTTTTTTTTTGAAAATAAAGTAATCCAGAAGATGATAAAGAAGAAGATCTAAATCTATATAACAATGATAATGTTCCTAATATTATCAGTTATATTAACAATATTATTAACGATATTAACAACGATATTAATGAAATAGGCAATCATATTAATATTATTAATCATCATAGTGATGATAATATTTCTTCATATAATAACACTCGCTCATCTAATAATACTTTCTTACTTGATAATACTTACTCATATAATAACACTCGCTCATCTAATACTTCTTTGCTTGATATTGTCACCAATAATACCTTTAATATTTCATATTCATCTTTTTCTTATCCAAAAGAAATTTTTGAATGTCTTATCGCAATCAATCATCCAGCGCTAGTTGGCAATAGCAAATTTAAAAAACTTTATTGGGCTAAAGAAGTGGAATCGGCTTATAATGAATGGTCTAATTTAGCAGTGGCAGACGATTATGATGATAAAAATAGTATTAGTAGTAGGAGGGAGGAATGGTTGAAATTAAAACAAGAACGACTTCATAATTTACATTTGGAGTTTTTTAAATATAAATTACAAGATACAAATGAACATTTAGACAATTTGAAATTAGATAAATATAATGATATTTGATGATTATTCATTTTATTTTTCAATTATAACTTTATAATTATTATTAATCTAAATTACTTGTTGCATTTATTAATCATTAATTAATTATTAATTCAAATAATAAATTTATTCTTGTTTGCATAACTAATTTATACAAAATCTGAGTGTTATCAAAGGGTTAGATTCTAATTGCTGCAATACTACTAGTCGTTGATGTTTCTCTAATAATTCCACCAGTTGTAGTACAGTTATCCTACATGCTGGTAAATATTATATCGTCAGTTTTTATCCATTCAACAACTATTTCATAATTAATTGTGTATTATATGACGTTGATGCTATATAATACTGTTGTAATGTTAAACTTACCGTACTGAATGAAATTCCCAGTTCAGAAATTCACATCTCTATTTGTTGTAAAAATTTTTACTTCCAGGTTCATTTTCTTTTCTTCTTCTTTTCTCATTGTAACTATAACTCATTCCCTTCATCATTTTTCATGTTGTATGTGACAGTGTTGTGACCCGAAACTCTGAGTTTAGGGAAAACCAGAAACAGAAACTAACAGAAACCACCCAAAACTAGTTTAGGTTGGTAGTTTATGTTTATGTTTAGGTTTAGGTTTAGTTTTCTGCTTAGTGTAAGTTCATTTTCCGAAACGTTTCGGGAAGCCAAAAGAGTTTCTGGTCACAACACTGTCATCCATATTATATATATTGTAAAGTTCATAATTAAATTCCAACCTTTTTTTAATTATATATTTATTAAATGAATTTAGTTGATGGTGGAGTTGCTCAGGTACTTTTGAGATATTTTAGTTTGTCTTCATAAAGAAAGGTTTTTACGTCTTAAAAATCCAAGTAACCAGCTTTTGGAACATTTAAAGGAACCACTAGCTTCTGGGTATTGTGAGATCAAAAATCCGCGTCTCACACAAATCTCTTGATTTTTATTTATGATGACATGCTGGTACAATTTTCCCATTATTTATACTAAATCATAATAACAATTTCCGCGAATGTATATTTATGCTTTACTCTCAAAACTATCTTTTAATATCATTAAACAATTTCTTGTACTAAGAAATACTAATCAATGTCTTTTTTAGATTTTACACTGTGTATCCTGATCACGTTTCTTGGTGGGTTCCCTCTTAGCCGTTTTCCTCTTTCGCATATACCAAGTCAGGTACGTCTCTAAAACTACTAAATAAGGTTGTTTGTTTTACCTACTAAAAGAAAAGAAAAGAAATAAAAAATAATAAAAAATAATAAAAATAATAGAAACAAATATCAAATAAGAGAAAATAATTATGCACGGGATTAGTATAAATTTGTCGTTAGGGATAGATTTTTTATCATTACGAAATCATCTAGTTCTCCAATTTCTTTAAAATACTAATTAATGTTAATCATTATTTAAACCTTCCATGTAGAATTACAGTATGGGAAGAAAAATCTTGCCCTCTGTATTTGTGATAAAATTTAGTGTGACTTGAAGATCTTAATAAATATCATGTAAACAAAATATTCCATGTAAACAACATCTTGTAACGCATCAACTTTCATATTTAGTCTTGAGTTAATATATTATTATTATTTTTTGTAAATCAAGTTAAAATGTCATCACAAGTTAAAAAAACACATCCTGAAGTCATCTTACATTTCTGGAATGAAGGAATCCAGTCTCCTCAGGAGATTAATAGAAAAACAAACATCCCACTTTGAACTATTAAATTCTATATTAAAAAATAAAGGAAACTGGTAGCATTGAACGTAAAAAAGGTAGTGGTTGCCCTAAAAAAATTACCAGCGGAACATCAATTGCAATTGGCCAGTATTTAAGACGAAATCCCTCTCTCTCTTCCCGAAAAATTGAAATTAAATTGGCTGAAAAAGGTATTGATGTGTCTTATAGAACCATTTCGAAGCATCTGGGTAGCTTGGGTTATAAGAACTTGCCATTAGCAACCCCAATGCTTACCAGTGCACATAATGAAAGATGGGTAGAATGGGCTCGTGCTCATCTTGATGACAACTGGAATAAGACCCTTTTTACAGATGAAACAGCATTCCAATTGTTCAGGAACACCATAAAACAATGGTATAAAGGCACATGACCAATTCGTCCTATTCCAAAAAATCATGTAAAAATTTTCGCCTGGAGTGGATTTTGTATGAAAGGAAAAACAAGCCTTTTTTGCTTCCAGCAAATAATGACAGGGTCTTTTATGTTGAAATACTTCAGAGGCACTTACCTGAGGTTCGACAAATGCTTGGACGTGTCTGGCACTTTCGGCAAGACAATGATCCTAAGCATACTAGTCATGTGGCCAAGGAATTTCTTCAAGCTAATGTGCCTGAGGTTATTGACTGGCCATCCAATAGTCCTGACCTCAACCCCATAGAGAACCTATGGAATATCATCAAGACCAATGTGGAAAGACGGCGACCAAAAAATCTTGATGATTTGAAACGTTTTATGATTGAGGAGTGGGAGAGTATTCCAGATTCTGTTATAAAAAATTTAATTGGATCAATGAGGAAATGTTGTGAAGCAGTTATTGAACAAAATGGTGAATGAATATCTTATTAAATTTTTTAATAAAATTTACATGTTTTATAGATTTAAATGAGCCATTTTATGAATAATTTACTTTAATGGTCGCCAAGTTATTGCAAATTTACAGAGGGCAAGATTTTTCTTCCCATACTGTATTTCAAGATCCACTGTGTATATTTCCTGTACCACTGTTTATTTACAAATATAGGCAAACAACAAATTTAATTTACAAAAAAAAAAATCAAAACAAAAATCATACAATCTATCCCAAGTAAGAATTTGCTATTTGAAGCATAGTGGAAATTTGAAATGTTACACTAATTTTTTATAATGTGCAATGTAACTTTACAAACATTCTTGCAATAAAAAGGAAGTGATAAACTGGATTTGAATTGGATCTGAACTTGATCTCCAACTTAGAGAAGTAACAATTATATACTGGTGAAGTTTCAGGAGCAATGGGTTCTGTATAACATTTTGTGCAACAACAAATTTCCACTATGCTGCTATTTGATCAATGCATACACATTAATTATTAAATTATTGGCACTTGGTGTTTTTTTGTTGATGCGTGATTGACTTTTTTTGGAAAAAAATTTATTTTCAAAGATAACAAACATGAATGATGTTGTTTTTAATTTGCATT